TCCCTCTCATGCACACACACCCTCAGAGATACACAGTAAAGAGCTAACTCATTACCTTCAACTCAATTTCATCTAGCTAATAAGCTCTTTTAGAAGGTTCAGCATATGTAGATTTGGGCAACGTGTTAAAATTTCCCCTGTCCTAAATTGGATCATATTTTAATAATGTTTTCATTTCACAGTTTTTGCCTTTTATTGAAGAATCTTTTCATCCAAGCAGAGAGAGAGACTAATTTAATAATTTCTTTGGAGGATTTCCCTGCTGCTGGATCTCTGCAGTTGTGACAATAATGACAAAGTTTGTTGGTAGGTAGTAGACGCATCCGTATGTCAGTAGATGTAGACCCAGCCTATCTAGGACATTCTGGTATGCAGTATGCTAGCCCTCTCCTGCATAACTAGTGTGAGGTATTCAGCCCATGACAGAAATATGTGAGCAAGGGAGAGAAAGTGGGAAATTTTTGAAAGATTCTGTTTTGTGCAGTGTATGAAAATCAGGGATTTCATGAGAATGAGTAAAGAAAATACGTCCAGCCAAAGAAGTACAACTTTGGAGCTGTCTCCAGGCTATAGTCTGGTCAATTGTCTTATTTTCCCTATTTTTTTCCCCCACCAGTGAAATATCTGGTAAGTGTAAGATGGTAATGTGTCAAAGCTAAGCTCAAGTCTTCAAAGAAATGATGTCGTATCTAGCTAGTTGCGGGGATAGGTTTTCCTATAAAGCTGTTTTTGCCACAGTTTGCGTTAGAAACATCAATGTTGGGATCATTCATGCCTGAGATGGTGGAGATCTGGTTGGCTTTGCCAAGGTTCTTAATGATGTTGATGTTGTATTTGGCAGTTTCCACAAAGCTGTTTTCTAGTAACCAACCATCGGATTCACCCTCCAGATCTCCTAGCAGAAGGACGTTCTTCATTGCTGTTTGTAGGTACCGGACGCCAATAAGTACGAAGAGCTGTAAGAAAAGGTTAGTGGTTAAACAGAGAGTTTGAGTTACAGCCTCAGTCCTGCCACTAATTCAGCTTTCTGACTTCTTTATTGATAGGCCTAATAATTAATACTGAGTAAAGCAGACAAATTCTGTAACCCAAAAATATATTCAGCCAGTCTCCCAGTAAATAAAATGTTTTGAAAAGAAAAATACCACAGAGAGATGGTTTGATTCTATCCCCATTCCTCAGGTAACTGTCTCCCTTGTATGTCATTACGGCATAAATACATAGAATTACTAGGGAATATTGCAGCCTCAGAGGCTACAACTAATGGATGCAGAACTGATGATCCATTAATGGAGCCAGCAGCCATTGAGGAAAAAATCCAGGTCTGTTAACGTGCATCAAATTTTTTCAATTGACCATGATTACATCAGAATTAAGCCTCCTGTGTCCTACATACCTGTGACAGTAAAGGGCCAAGTCCAAGCTTAGAAAAAAGCCCCCACTTTCATAGTCCTGCTGGACTCTAGATCCGGGCCCCCACCTTATCGACATTTAAGGAAGCACAGAGAGCACAGCTTTCTCGTAATGCTGCCTAAGGCCTGTTGCTTCTGGTATCACTGCCTATGCAGCTCTGCCTGAGGACTGATGTGGTGAAATATTTTATATATAGTGCTAATATTTATTATAGAGCAGTAGACAATAATCAGAAAAACAAAATAATTACTAAAAAAGGAAAAAAACTGCATTTTAATACATGCCATTGGGATCCTTTACATGTAGATCAAATTACCCAGGCAGCTTTCTTTATAGACTCCAGTAGAAAGGCTGCATCTTTACATGTGTGTATGTTTGCCTGTGATATGCTCATTTTGACTGCATAATAAGCATATCTAGTCTACATCTAAAAACATATTCCATTCTTGCAAATACTGTCTATATGGTAAAGCTATGTATCTAAAAGGAGGTTTTGAGAGGTTAATATTTATGTTCAGTTTTTAAAATAAATAAAATGGTGGTCAGCTGAAAGCCTGCCTGACTTTTCTCATACTCTTTGTAAGAATTGACTTAAAACAATCCTCATACCTTCTCCCCTAATTTTCTTGCAGTTGTGTCACTGCGTGTATCATCCTGTGTCTGGTCCTGCAAATGCTTCAGGGCAAGGACTATGCCACAGTCTATTGAAAAAGCTCTGTAAATATACTGAATTAATATGAATAATTTCTAATAGATATTGTTTTCAGTGAGATTTGCATCTGCTCTGGGGACTTTGAGGAAGCTGTCTGTACTAAAGAAAGCCCTGAGACAAGTGTTTGCAGACTTGTATTCAGGGTATTATCTACTGAGGTACTTCTTGCACTTCTCGCACATTGCACCATGGTTATTTTCCATTCTAGGGAGCACAAAGTCTCTGATCAAGTAATTCATCACAGACTGTTCATATGAGACTTACCTCAAACAACCAGATAAGCAATGCTGCAATACCAATGGATCGCATAATAGCCGTGTAGTAATCCAGCAGGGCTTCTCTGCACCCCTTCACCCAGATATTCAGCTCCTCTGTCAGAAAATCGTAATTGTAGTGAGCGCTGTTGTTTGTAAGCTGGTGCTGGATACAGGGCCGTGGGGAACTGGGATTGCAGCAGCTGAAGGGGACTCCATCCACCAAGAACTTTCCATCAACATTACTCTTTAGACGGCTGCAACAGGACAGAAAGTTTGGGCATTATAAATGTGGTAGCAGCAGCCAGAAGCGTTGATACTGTTTTAGAAAAGGGTACGTTGAATGTCTGCTGCAATGCAGGCCTCTCCAGCGTTACAAAGGGAAACGGAGAATATATTTCTGACGGGAGGTGCTGCTCACTGCAGGAAAGCTAAATTTTTTATTTGCTGAAGTGTGGGTATCAGTGTAGTATCTCATGTGGTCCTTGGTATTGTACATGTAAGGCATAAATTCAATGTCATGGAGAAGGAGAGCCAGATGTTTTCCAGATATTTTTGCACTAAAATTATTAAAGACAGTTCTAGAATTTGTTTTTTGCGGCAGAACTCTAACGAAAGTTATGGCCCTAGAAATGCTGTGTTTCATTAGTGATTTTGAACACCTGAACGATAGCAGCTAACGGAAGGACAATCTTGTATGTCACAGAAACCACTGGAAATTGCCTGCTGCCTCTGGATCATTTTATCCATGCGTCACAGCTGGTATGGCCTGTGTTTTGAGACTAATTCGGAAGAGGTTTTCCTCTTTTTAAGTGTATTTATTGTTAAAAATTATTCTTCCTCTTCCTCCCCTATAGGATCAGAAAAAAAACCAAGCAGGTAAATGAGAAAGATAAAGAAATAGGAGGGAGGAAAGTTCATGGTAAGGAAAGAAAGCATAGTCCCAGATTAATCAAGAGTTTCTAGAAGAGCTAAATCGATCTTTTCAATACTGGATGTTCCTTTTCTTTGTATCTCCTGCTCTTTAGCTACTGTGTCCTTGTGCTGAACTTCTGGGTCCAAGCGGGCTCTTCAGAGAAACGGATTTTCCAGGAGTCAGAGAGTTTGTAAGATGTTGTGAGAGACTCGCACTTTGTGGAAGTAGCCTCTAAGCATGTATTTATTTTCATGCTACTTGCCAAAGGCTTACTTCCTGAGACCACCCCAAAGATGAGAACCGAGGACTGTTCTAGCAAAGCCCAAGCCCTGTAGTCTCTGCTGTGGAGCCAGAATATATGAAGGGGAATCTTCTCTTAGTTCTCCAGCTTTCACCATATGTTAATAATAGATTTTTTTTTGTTTTGCAAAACTTATCCCCATTAGTTAATGTTCAAGGAGATATAAAAGTGGTATTTTCCTGTTCTGCTACAGAAGATCTAAATTAAAGAGAAGGAAGTCATCACAGGATGCTAATGGAGCAGTAACTCTGGGGGTCTGGTATTCTTCCAGCATTTTGGGACTAAATGCATCCTTCAGGAGAAACATAAGCTGCTGGGAAGCTCAGCATTTGTAGCTGTGCTGGGATGGCAGAATAATTGCCTTCACTGCATTGCTGTGGGCCTGCTGGAAACAACTTCCTTCCTTCCTTCCTTTGTTTGTTTGTTTTTGTTTTATGTTCTGTCAAAAAGATCTTCCTCAGAGATCTTTCCAAATAAGTCAGGAAGATCATCTGCTGTTTCCCACCTAGGAGCCCCCTTTTTAAAGTCTAGCTCTTCACTTTGTAGCTCGGCTTCCCCTGACTTTCATACTCCTGTTGACAGTAAGAGGATGAGACGAATGCAAAAGAATCCAAATAACTCACTGAAACCTGACTTAAGCGGGCAAGCAGTGCAACCGGCATAGGCCAAGCCACTCGCTACTAGAGAAACGGGGAAGGGAGCCAGAGAGACACAAACCGGAAGGCTAGACTAGGGGAGGAAAACAAGAAAGCTCACAGAGGGAGGGAAGGAAGGCAGGAAGATGGTGAAAGGGAAGCTTTTACTTGGCCAAAAGAGTGCCCCATATACTTCGGTGGCCCCAATACCGCACAGCATCCAGAATGGTTAATACACATTCTCTTAAATTTTTGTTTCTACTACCCCCAAGAGCAGTTTCCAGACTTTGGTTATTTTCACCTTCCTCTACTTGTGGCAAATCAAAGGATATTGTAACTTGGTATCGTTAGAGGAGAAGCTGGAAAGAACTCAGTAACGAAGCTGAGGGAGCAAGATTTGCCATAACTCAAAGTAATCAAGACGTTGTAAGGCAGAACTTGCTTCTGAGACTCTGAAAAGATGATTTGTAACTAACCGAAGCAATCATAGGACTGTACTGCTACAACCTGCCTCATCCTCCCACCATTCCCGTTGCTTGACTCCGTTTGTTGTCACATTATGATGTTGGCAATGGTGATGTAGAAAAGAGGGGAGGAAATGGGATTATGAAGAAAGGTGGAAAGTTTAATTCTGCAGATTCCATCTGAGACGACAGTATGTCAGTTCTCAGCTGCTTTACTGTTAATCTACTGAGTACTAATAGGCATACTACAATATGAAGCCAAGAAAAGTACTTGGTTCCATCTCCATCCTGTCCGAACTTTCTGAACAAGCTGGACTTTAGGCCTAATGATTTCCTACCAAATGTTTCACTACCAAATTCTGGCAATAATATAATTTGGTTATACAGCACTAGCTTTGATATTGGCAATTGAGATGAGATTATCCTGATTTATTCACTGTCAAAGAAATTCTACACTTCAATTACTTGCCTCACACACATTTTGCTGATGTCTCTTGTCTACATGGGGCAAAAATTAACTGACAGTATATTTTCAAAATAACAGCAGAGGTGGCCATGCAGGTTAAAATAACTGAGTGTTGTTACCACACAGGAGAAAACATTACTGTTTCCACACAGCTCACAGAAATAAAAATCAGTATATTTTACTTTTGTCCTTATAATAAGATATTACTACAAGTTCCTGTGGACAATCTCCATCACCATGTCACTTTTCAGAGCAGAACCAGAATTTAAAACACCTCTTGAGTCCAACTGCTTTGTGTCACTACTGCTTTCCAACCTCCTTCTCCAGAACACTTGTTCTGAACCCTGCTTTATCGCAATAGCTAACTGACCTAGTCAGGCTCTGCTCTGTGTTCTCCAAGGTCCTGTCCTCTGGTGAATTTGCAGTTCTAACAGGCCTTGCAATAATGGCAATTTCAAGTTAAAAGTTTTGTGAAAGTAAGATCTTTGGCCTCGCTTAATCTGGCTTTATCATCACTGATTTTTGAGTTCAGGGAAGCAAAACACTCGGCAAATGCCATTCCAGCTTTTGCTATGTAACTTCGTGTTGAAACTTACTGGCATGTGAATTTGTAATAGTTGAATGTGTTCATTTATCGCTTTCATGCTTTGAGGCTAAGCTTTCTTGGGAGGCTCTGTGAAAAGATTCACCTCGGTTCTGAGCCAATTGTAGAAGTGGAAACCATGAAGCGTTTCTGTGAACCTGATCTTCCAAAGTCAACTGCACTTTTTTAGGTCTTCATCAAAAGAGGTGCAATCATGTCTCCCACCTGTCTATTCTCTTCCTGTCTGCTGATTATATACTGAAGAGAAACTGCCAAACTTCTCCTTTTGCTTGATCGAGTGAAAAATAAACCTATTAATAACCAATTCAGTTGAAACATTCTAAGTTAAAACCAGTAATAACAGGAAATGAACAACCTAGCATCTCAGTGATTTCTGGATGATGAGATGGGGAGAGGGAAAACCGAAGAGTCCTCTCTCTAGCTGAAGCTCCACACTGCTTGCTGTTGGACAGTGTTTCCGATTGGAGTTGTTATTCTGGTCTGCTCTCAGGAATTATATACCTGACTCTCATGAATGCAGCTTTTTTAAGCTTTTGAAGAATTACTGCAAACTGGATTGTCTGTTACTTGTTTAAACTTGTGATTGTTACCTTTTCTATTTTCTGTAAGAATTGTCAGATTCTTCTTTCTAAGTGTATCATTTCACAATTGCTACATCCTGTGAGGCACCAACACAAAAACCAAAACTCAGGCTTTTCCTCCTCCTTTGTTACGTAGCGTACACAGTGTTGGCAGTATCTCATGTGTAAACACAGAGGTTTGAAACTGAATTTGCCAGGTGTAATATCTGAAAGGAAAAGATCTTTCAATGTTTAGTGTTCTTTAGGATTCACTATGCGATCTGTTGATAATACAGTCCTTTTCATTTTCATTATCAGCTCACCATAACTGAAATTTTGAGGTAGCTGATTTGCCACGTTAAAGAAGGAAAGATACACCATTGTTTTCTTAACATCTATAAAAAGTTAGTAAATGAGTGTGTATGTAGTTAGCATGTTTTGCAGTTAGCGT